TTATTGGTGTTTAGAGATAGACTTTTTCATGACAATCAAACTTAACCGATTAGATTTCTCCCACTTTATATAAACTTCTTTTATTTTAGGGGAGTTCTCACTATTATTTTAGGGAGCTCTCACTAGTATATATCAACAAGTTTACCACCGCCAAAGCACAAGTACCCAAGATTGATGGCAACCTATTTATTTTTCCACACAGTTGGTAGCATGATATTCTCCAAGTTTACCAAAACATTACTTTGAAAGGAAAGGACGATTTAACCCATTTACAGAAAAGAATTAAAATCACTTTGTTAACTTCTTTTAGTTTTAAGCCATGGTGCATGTATTGGAGTCCTTAGAATATTATAAAGGTATAATTTATACTACTTTAAAATATCAGTATCTATGAAAAACTATTTTTTGTTACTTTTACCCTCCAATAGTACAATTATACTAGACTTATCCTCCATATTTAAATAGGTCAATTAAACCAATTCAATTGTTGCTACCTGCGTTTGGCGTTTGAGGTCCACAACGGTACCTGTTCATCTCTCTTTTTCAGTTAATAATAAAAGCATTTGACTGAGTCATCTCCTTCGGTCATTGGTGCATAACCTCTCACAAAATGTCTCCTTGCTTCTCTCTTGTGATGATACACAGCTCATCTTTGTGGCTCTATAGATTCTATGAATTAATGGTGCAAACAGTAATGCCTCTTTCTCTCTCAAACACACATCGTCGGTCTTGACCCTACGGAATGAGCGGTATTCTACTTCAACAGGTACTGTTTTTTTTGTTTGTTCTAAGATCTGTGTTCTTTTGTTTATTTTTGATTGATGATTGAATGTATATGAACAAATTTCAAATTCTTAAGCCATTATTGAATACATGAACAAATTTCGAATTCTTAAGCCACCTATATGGAATAAGATTGTCAGAAATCTTCTAATTTTCATTCACAAATTAGAAGAAAAGGAATAATTCAGTGACAGCATCATTACTACTCATGCACGACTGTAAAATTGATGGATTTTTGGGTTGGAGTTGCTTATGGTGAGAGCCATGAGGAAGAAAAATTAGAGAGACAGAGAGGAGAGAGAGAGAGGAACGACTATGGCATGAGGAAAAAGAAGAACTGAGGAGGGGACAAAATCAATCAAATGGTTCTATGGATAAGAATTGTTTATGGCGGTGAGAGAGAGAGAGAGAGAGAGAGAGAGAGAGAGAGAGAGAGAGAGAGAGAGAGAGGTACTCCTTGTGGCTTGAAGAAAATGAAGAACAATGAAATGAGTCTGTGGGTAAGAGAATTCTACGTTATCCAATTTTTTTTCAATATCTTACTGTTGTTTATAAGTTTAGTGAGTTTTTTTCATAAAATTTGAGTCATTTATAAAATTTGGAAATCATTTATAATCCTTTGAGGGTCATTTATAACTTTTAAGGATTACTTATAATTTTAGAGGGTACATGCAATCACTTTTTAAAATTTTATGATTGATCGCAATTAACTATCAAGAGTTGTGAATGGACTTCCCAAAGTTATAATTTGGACAGTAAAATTTGTAATATAACCCCAAAAATTATAAATTATTTTGTTGTGAAGAAATCTAAATTAAAATTTGAACTTCAACCCATAACCCTCAGTAAATTTTGACGTTACGATACCAAAGGTTGCAACATTTTGTCCTCTAATTTGCAGCAAAACTCTACCTGCTGCCTTGCCAAAAGATTACATGGGGGTATGTATTGTCTCAATTGAAATTTGCTACATATTATCAGAGCTCCTGCTGTGCTGCTTTGATGTTTACTTTGATGGAATTTAATACATTCTTTGGAAATTTTGAGTCTGTTCTTTCGTTTTGTTCTTAGGTGTTTGCATGGGGATGAATAATTTTTACTTTCTAGATTTTATCTTATATGGGAGAATTCTTTGAGCCATGTTTACCACGTATAAAAACTTGAAAATATTCTCATTAAATTTGTTGCACTTTAGTTTCATCTATAGCAATTGAGCTAGTGAAAGGTTCTCTAATGGTTTCACCTATAGGGTGGAATTGCCACAAAACTTAGTCCCATGGATAATTCAACGTTAGATTGTGATGAAATATGAAAAAAAAGAGTCTAAGGAATAAGTTATATATCCTATAAAAAAGCAAAAAAGAAATACAATTTTATAAACCATTTGAGTTGTTACATGGGTTTGTTCTTATATATGTTGCCTTTGGAGAATGGAATGGTTGGTTGATTTTGGTGTGCTGGGCATGTGAGTTTGGGATTGAAATAGTTATCAATTGTTGGTTTTAGCATTGAATTGAGTGAAATATATGGTTTATGGATTCAATTTACTCATATTTTTTGATTGATATTATTTTACTGGTGGTATTATTTGATCATTCATATTTGAGCACACTCCAGATAATTGTGGATGATTAATAAAGAAGTACAAATCTATTAGGTGGTATACTTTTCTTTGGAAAATTGATTTTTTTATTTTATCAATAAGAACAGATTTTGTCAAGAAATTAAGATGATTTCAATTTTTTGTTACATCATCAGTCTCATTTTGTGTAGCAAAGGGTGGTAAATTATACAAAACAGCAAAGGCATGGCCGGGAATATGCTTAGAGTGGCGATGTCCTTGAGGATGATACATGTTCACGACCACCTCCTACATGACCATCATTTTAAGGACTAAATAGAGGTTGACGTTGAATAAAATCTAGGTTTGTTCTTATTGAAACGCAATTCATAGTGATAATAATTTGTGTTTTCACTAAAATGTTGTCTTATTGCAGTAATGGTGCATTTCTTATTCATATTAAAGCCATCTTTTCTTTTATATAGATGTTGTCTCAATGAATTTGGTTACATACATCTCAATCAACCACAATAATAATTTTTTCACTTTCAAGCTTAATTTCCTTTCTCATTAATTTATTTGAGTGTCATATAGGTTAATGCTTTATAAATCTAATGACCATTTTCTTACTAGCTAAGATAAGAATTAAGTTGTTTTGTGCGTATCATTGCCATCCAAGATATCAATTTGAGTTAAAGCACTGAAAGGTATGTGTAAAATATGCGTAAATGGGCAAAATTATTGTGATAGGAAAGCTGTTATTTTGTGATCATAGAAATAAGTTGTCCTCGTGTTCTCATTAATGTTTCAATTTGTGATGGTAGTTTCCACAATTCCAAATAAAGTATAAAGTAAAAATAACTCCGAATAAGTTAATTTAATTTTTCGGTTTTAATGGGTAGTGAGAAGTAGTCACTAATATGGAAATGTAGGCTCCGATTATATTGTCCTTTACTTGATAAAAAAAAATGATTTTTTGTATATCAAAAGGCAAATTTTTTGTGTACAAAATAAATTTCTACGTCATCTAAGTATAGACTACAATAATCTATAGCTTTTCCAAAGTGATTTTTTTTACCTTTGTAGAATATGAAATAATATTAGCACTTATTACATTTTATTATTTTGTTGCATAAATATTACATCAAAATACTTGTGTATAACTGTAGGTTATGATATGACAATAATTGTTTAGAAAAAAAAGAAAATCAAGATTATAATTCGGCGACTGCGTTGAAAAAAAATCAGTGCCGCCAATATAAAAAAAAAATTATGTTTTGAAATCCCCAAATTATATTAATAAACTTATAAAACAAATTCGGTTAGGTTTTAAATTCTTATACGATGGCTCTGATACCACATATAAGAATTTAATGATTCGTATATGAAATTTAGAACACCTACATTACAAGATTTAATTTAGAACATAGTTGTGTAAGATATGATACTCAATCTTCCTTCAAGTTTCTTTTAGAGAGAAGGGCAAGATATTCCTCTCATTCTTCAAAGTAATAGGCGACTCTCAATGGGACATGTCAAATTAGGTTATAAAGTGGAGAAGGTATCTAGCCTGCTATTTATAATGAATCTAATAAGTTCTCTCGTTATGGGCCACAATTAGATTAAGACCTACACTGAACTGCCTTAACTACATCAATTAAAAAGATGTACATAAGCCCATCAAAATATATTACTTAATAATATTAGGCTCATCTTATTGGACCATAAATTCAGCCCATTTTTCACAAATTTAAAATTAACTATAAATTAATGGAAGAATTCCAACCCCGCCATCAAAGAGCCAGAAAATACACTCACTGATACCTCTTTCCCTCACAAATCCATGTTGTTCAATTGATACCAACTCATGTAGTAAAGGAGCAAGTCTAGAGGCCAAGAGTTTAATAAAAATGTTATAAAGAAAATTACATAAACTAATTGGCCTAAAATCAGTAAAAGATGCAGGATTAGTCTTCTTGGCAATCAAAGTCAACAAATTAGCATTGAATGACCTTAGAACCCTACCCCCATTCAGAAAAAAAATTCACAGCAACAACAACTATCTTGTTTAATTACATCCCATGCTATCTGATAGAACTTTCCAGATAGCCCATCAGCACAAGGTGCACTCTGCATAGACATGGAGAAAACCACTACCTTCACTTCCTCCTCAGAAGCCTCACCTGTAGTCCTAACACTCTCTTCATCATGAAAGTCAACAAATTAGCATTGAATGACCTTAAGGTTTTTAAAAAAAAAAATAGATGCCGCCATTAAGGTCTCCTTAAGACATGGTCACAATAGGCATATACTACAAACACATACACCACTTCAGAACCCATGTAGGATACATCTACAGTCAATGCTTGCATAAATTGAAACAAGACCTTGACTTTAACTCTATCATCCCATAACAACCAAATATTCTTTTCAGCCAGGGAATTAAAAGCAAAATGAGAATCGCCCAACCTAGAGGAAAAACCTGGCAATTTATCCCTCCCTAGTTTGGCCTCCTGAATAGCTAACATGCACACTTCATTCATCTTCACCAACTTTTTCAACCTTCTTCTCTGGACAACCTTCCTTGCCCCTCTTATATTCCAAGACATAAAGCTGATCATATAAAATGGGAAGAGAAATTACCTCTAGACTCTAG